CTCAAAAAAAAAAAAAAAAAAAAAAAATTATTGCAGCTGGTATGTAAATAGTTGTTAGTCTTCTCCTTATCTACCTAACAAACTTAATGGGTAGTTCAGAAGGCAAGGCTTGAATCACATTGCAATTTTTTTTTAACAATTTACAAATTGAAGCTTGTAACATTCAAGACCAAAGATCATGAGACTTATATTTTTCTTTTCCACATTACTATGATGAAAATATTAGTACTTTTTCTCTTCTATTCCTTCTCTTTCCTGTTTTCACTTCCTAAGATCAGTTAGCTATAGCCTTGCATTTGCATTGTCAAAATAGATTATTTTGTGTTCTGTTTTGTAACTATAATTATAATAACTTTCATTTTTCTGCTTTAATTCCTTGTGATTTCTCTGCTTTACAGCTGTTACTCTGGGACTTCACTCCATTCCTGAGTTGTCATCACTGATTTTAGTGTCTTCCTCTGTGCTTTGCCTGTAGGTCAATATTAGAAGTTTTTTTGAAAAGTATGTATACTATTATGACTGTGCAGCTGTTGACTCACTGAAGAGCAAAGCAGTGGACCAGAATTTAATTTCCTTCACTGTGATTCTTTTTTTTTTTTTTTTTTTTTGAGTTGGAGTCTCACTCTGTCACCCAGACTCAAGTGCAGTGGCATGCTCCCAGCCACCGCAACCTCGACCTACTGGGCTCCGGTGATCCTTCCGCTTCAGCCTTCCAAGTAGTTGGAACTACAGGCGCGCGCTACCATGCCTGGCTAATTTTTTGAATTATTGTAGAAATGAGGTCTCGCCAAGTTGCCCAGGCAGGTCTCGAACCCGCGGGCTCAGGCAGTCCACTCACCTCAGCCTCCTAAGGCGCAGGATTACAGGCTGAGCCACTGAGCCCAGCCTGGGTTGTTTCATTTCTACTTATGTATGTATTTGTTTATTTGTTGCTGGTTTTCACGCACATCTGGTGACCCCTGGTTGATGGCATTGATTTCCCCTGCTGTAGTGTTTAGGCCTGTCTCTCTGCTGGGGCCCCTCCTTGATGAAAAGAGTTTGTGAGTACAGCCAATTTGTGAGCAGGACTTCATTTGGGGTGCAAACATCCACACTAGCCACCCTCATCTTTCTCAGGCAGTGCATTCAGCATGTCAAAGAGAAGCATTTCAATGCTTTATTTTCTTCTCTTTCACTCTGTATCATTTTCTCCATTTTCTACTTTCCAGGCATTTGTGGAAACCTTTCATCTTCTTAGGGTCTTCCTTCAAAATTTTCTTTGCTTGTAGATATTTATTCACTTTTCCCCTATACTATCCCTTGAATAGGATCTTGGGGAGGAAGGGAACAAGAATTAAATGTGCCTAACATGCCATCTTAAACAAATAATCCTTTAAAAATTAGTTTTCCAGCTGGGCTCAGTGGCTCAGCCTGTAATCCCAGCACTTTGGGAGGCTGAAGTGAGTGGATTGCCTGAGCCCACGGGTTCAAGACCTGCCTGGGCTACTTGGTGAGACCTCATCTCTACAACAAAATAAAATAAAAATTAGCCGGGCGTGGTAGCACGCGACTGTAGTTTCAGCTACTTGGAAGGCTGAGGCGAAAGGATCGCCGGAGCCCAGTAGGTGGAGGCTGCGGTGGCCTTGAGCGGCCATTGCACTCCAGTCTGGGTGACAGAGTGAGACTCCAACTCAAAAAAAAAAATTAGTTTTCCACATTTCAAAATGAACACTGTAGAAAACTGATAAAATATAAACAATCAAATAAAATATATGATCTGTTCTTCCATCACCCAGAAATAACATTGATAATGCTTTAAAGCATACTCTAGTTCCTTTTCCTATGCATCTATCTAGCTCTTTTTTTACAACAATGGGATACCATATGTTCTGCTTTCTTTTTTTTTTTGAGTTGTAGTCTCACTCTGTCGCCCAGCCTGGAGTGCAGTGGCCGCTCCCGGCCACCGCAGCCTCGCCCTGCTGGGCTCCGGTGATCCTTCCTCCTCAACCTTCCAAGTAGCCGGAATTACAGGCATGCACTACCACGCCCGGCTAGTTTTTTTGATTTATTGTAGAGATGAGGTCTCGCCAAGTTGCCCAGGCGGGTCTCAAACCCACGGGCTCAGGCAATCCACTCACCTCAGCCTCCCAAAGGCGCGGGATTACAGGCTGAGCCACCGAGCCCGGCTTGTTCTCTTTTCTAATATGCCTCTTAAAACTAAACAATAACTTTAAAATATCTCTTCATGTCACAGCATATTCCTAACAATATTCCAAGATCTGGCATTTATTGAGAAATATATGTGCTCTTATTTAACCAAACTGCTACTTTTAGACATTGGGTTGTTTCTCATTTTCACTACTATCAACAAGCTTTTGTAAACATTTGAGCCTAATTCTTTACTCCTACCCTTGACTATTTACTTTGTGTGAAATCCTAGCAGTGGCATTGTGGGGGTGAAGGATATGTGACCTCATTCTTGGGCCAACATCTGTGGTTCTCCTTGACGTAGTCCTGCTTTCACTTTCTGGCCCCAAACTTTCACTTTGCTCCACTTCACTTGAGTCCCTGAAGCTTTGTAGCAGAGACATTAAAAACATCATTTTTGGAGTCAGACCAGGGTTGAATTCGAGCTTTGCCACTTATTAAGTGTGTGAACTTAAGCTGTTTTAATTAACCTCTTGGAATGCTTTTCTAAAAAATGGAGAAATAATTCTACTTTTCTACTGTGGTTGTTATGAGAATTAAAATTAAAAATGCATGTAAAGCACTTAACACAGGCCCTGTCAGGTCGAAACTGTTCCTAAATCATGGTGTGAGACCCATACCTGTCCATTCCTGTCCATAAGCCTATGCAAATCCCTCAGTCAAGGTCACATGGGGATGCACCCCTGCTGTGAAGCTCTCCTGGCCAGGGCAACCCATCATCCTGATTTTTTTTTTTTTTTTTTTGAGTTGGAGTCTCACTTCCTCGCCCAGACTGGAGTGCAATGGCCGCTCCCGGACACTGCAGCCGCGACCTGCTGGGCTCAGGCGATCCCTCGGCCTCAGCCTTCCAAGTAGCTGGAACCACAGGCGCGTGCTACCACGCCTGGCTAATTTTTTATTATTGTAGAGATGAGGTCTCGCCAAGTTGCCCAGGCGGGTCTCGAACCCACGGGCTCAGGCAATCCACTCACCTCAGCCTCCCCAAGCAAGGGATTACAGGCTAAGCCACCGAACCCGGCTATCCTGAGTTGTTAGAGCACGTGTGGGCTGAACCCCTCCTTCGACACTCAGAACACATTGTCTTGTTGTTTTTTGTATGTCTGTGTGTATGGGAAGAAGCAACGTTCCTCTGCTCATCTCCTAGCACTGTGCTGTTGGTCCCTTCACCATCATGGATTGATCCATTTTCACTGGTGTTCTTCAGCAGTAGAGGTGGTGATGAAAAGGTGCTGGTGACCCAATGCTGGTAGCATCTGGATTGTCTTTTGGACTTTATTTAGAGCCCTTTAGTGGTTCAGGAGCTTTGAGGGTAACTCCTGAAACCTCAGAGGAATCAGTGGGCAGCAGAGGCAAGGAAATCTGCCAATCAGAAGGCTGCCAGGCCTTTGCTAGTGCTGAGCCTCTGCAGGACATTGTCCCTGCTGGAAAGGCAGAGCTCAGCAGGCAGCATCAGGACCTTTATGTGGCTTGCAAGACGCCTTCCTCGCCCTGGTTACTTCACACTAGGCAGTAAGACGCTTTTGGAGCTGGAAGGGCTTTCCTCCTGAGCATCACCCAGCCCACAAAGGTCTCTTTCACAGCCCCAGGGATGCCTCCCAGTTGCCAGGGGAGACTGCAAAGCAGCCTGTGTATAGAGCCACCGATGAGAGTACTTGATGTGGGACAGTTTCCAAGGGAGGGTCTGGAGGAGGCAGAGGGGCAGCCCTGGGGAAGGTGATTTGTGAGGTGTGCTGCATCACCCCACCTCTGTCCGGGTGTCTTTCAGGAGTCATGGCCGGCTTCAACATGGGGGGCGACCTCAGGGAGCCTGCTGCCAGCATCCCCCTGGGCTCCCTAGCAGCTGTTGGCATCTCGTAAGTTCCCCTTATGGCAATTGGTACAAGCTGGAGAATGGTAGAAAAAAACCCAGGCAGAGAGGGGATTGCCCCTTTTGTTCTGAAAGTGCCCCGACTGTGACCAACCTATTTCATATTCCGATCCTCCCTTTAACACTCAGTGGGCTGGAAAATTCATGTCTGGTGGGTTCAGACATTGCCCTTTCCTGTGCCCTGCCTGGGAATGCTGCCGAGGACGAGTGTCATGAACGCAGAACACGGGTCGCAGATCAAATTCTTTCTTTCCTTTTTCCCTCAGCGTCCCGCCCCTTTCTCTCCCCTCACCCCCATTTTGAACTCGGGAATTTTTTTAGCCATTACGTTTCCAGGGTCCTTTGGGAGAGCATAAAGATGACGTTTTGCAATCAGACAGATTAGGGTTTGCATCCCAGCTCTGCTGCTGATTGACTGGTGACGTTGGGCAGTGTATGTGAATCCCTGAGCCTCCATTTCCTTTTCAATAAAATGGGGATAATGTGTGCATCACAGACTGTGGAGGAGAGAGTAGAAGGCACAGAGTAGAGGCTCCGAGTCCAGCTCTCCTTCTTCCTCCAGCCTCCCCACTACCTCCCTAGGCTGTCAGGCCTCACACTGTGCCACCCACACTAGCAGTTGAGCAGCCTTGGGTCTGTTTCTGCCCTTTTATTTATTTATTTATTTATTTGAGTTGGAGTCTCACTCTGTTGCCCAGACTGTAGGGCCGTGGCCGCTCCCGGCCACCGCAGCCTCGACCTGCTGGGCTCTGGCGATCCTTCCGCCTCAGCCTTCCAAGTAGCTGGAACTACAGGCGCGCGCTACCACGCCCGGCTAATTTTGGATTCATTGTAGAGATGAGGTTTCGCCAAGTTGCCCAGGCAGGTCTCGAACCCGCGGGCTCAGGTAATCCACTCGCCTCGGCCTCCCAAGATACTGGGATTACAGGCTGAGCCACCGAGCCCGGCCTGTTTCTGCCCTTTTAGAATCTTGTGTTTTTCTCTGTTCTGTGGGAAGACGTTTCTCTGCCCTTCATTGGGTAGGTGTGAAGAGTTGACGAAATCAGAGACATGATAATTATTTGAGAGGTTAAAAGGACTGGTATTATTCCTTTTCTTTTCTTTCTTTTTTTTTTTTTTTTGAGTTGAAGTCTCACTCCTTCACCCAGGCTGGGGTGCAGTGGCACACACACTCACAGTCACCCCAGTGTTAACCTGGGCTCCAGCAATTCTTCCGCCTCAGCCTTCCAAGTAGCCAGAACTACAGATGCGTGCTACCACGCCTGGCTATTTTTATTTTATTGTAGAGAGGAGGTCTCGCCAAGTTCCCCAGGCTGGTCTCGAACCCGCAGGTTCAGGCGGTCCACTCACGTCGGCATCCCAAAGTGCTGGGATTACAGGCTGAGCCACTGATCCCGGCCAGGACTGGTATTATTCTAACCATGATATTTTGCAAATACTAATAGATGTGTTTCACAAACACTGAATTAGCTTTTAGCTTATTGCAGGGGCATGGTGGCTACCAGCCAGGCAGTGGACACCAGGCTGTTTTGTGCAATATAGGACAATAGCATTGGGAAGAAAATGAAGACAACAGAGACAGAGTTGAGTATTGGGAAGGAAAGAAAGAAAAGAGGGTTCTCATATCCTGTCTGGTTTCTGGTCCCTGCTGGGAGATCCTGGGAGGAACTCTTGGCCCATCCTCTCACTGCCCAGATGGGAATGAGGAGAATGTGGGAATCCTGAGACTAGTTCATGGTTACAGGACGTCTTGAGGGCAGAGGCAGGCCACTGCTCTGTCTCTTGGCCTTGTCTTCTTTCTCTATGATCTGTGATCCAAAGACCAGCCGGACTTATAGGCCCGAAAGAATCATCAACAGGTTCTTTTGCCGGGGAAGGATGGGGTATGGACATTGCAGGGCAAATCCTGGCCTGAACGTCCCCACACCCCACACCCTTTGCGTTTTTTCTCCTTTAATATGAGAAAGAGACAAAACGATGATACTTTTTCATTTTTTAAGAAATATGCGGCCGGGCTCAGTGGTTCAGCCTGTAATCCCGCGCCTTGGGAGGCTGAAGTGAGTGGATTGCCTGAGCCCGCGGGTTCGAGACCCGCCTGGGCAACTTGGCGAGACCTCATCTCTATAATAAATCAAATATTAGCCAGGCATGGTAGCGCACGCCTGTGGTGGCCAGGAGTGTGCCGCTGTACTCCAGTCTGGGCGACTGAGTGAGACTCCAACTAAAAAAAAAAACAACAAATATGTGAGAGGAGAAATAGTACAAAAAGTGCTCTCTGATTCTGCAGCAGATTCCCACAGGAGACCAAATGTTGAGTAGGGCGGGGTCAGGAAGGGGCTTCGCGAGGTCAGGGGGCAGCTCTGCTGTTTTGGGTTTTGCAGGTGGTTTCTGTACGTCGTCTTCGTCTTCCTGCTTGGCGCCATCTGCACTCGAGAGGCCCTTCGCTACAACTTCCTGATAGCCGAAAAGGTGAGTCCTCCGTGCCCAGAGAGCTCAGTCTGCAGGGATCATTTGTTTGTTCCCATCAACAAATGGCCACCCCGCTCCCTTTGTAGTCATGCCTGGGAATCCATATCGTCTTAAGCCCAGGACTGAAGGTTGAGGGGAGGGGCCAGAACTGATGGAAAGGTACAGGTTCTGATTAGGGATTCCTAGAAACAGGTAACAATACTCAAAGGGGCACATGAATGCAGGTGACTGATAATAGGGACCTACCTAGCCGGGCTCAGTGGCTCAGGCTCTAATCCCACGCCTGTGGGAGGCTGAGGTGAGTGGACTGCCTGAGCCCGCGGGTTCGAGACCCGCCTGAGCAGGCGAGACTTCATCTCTACAATAAAACAAAAAAATTAGCCGGGCGTGGTAACACGTGCCTGTAGTTCCGGCTACTTGGAAGGCTGAGGTGGAAGGATCGCTGGAGCCCAGTGGGTTGAGGCTGCAGTGGCTGGGAGCCTCCAGTCTGGGCAACAGAGTGAGACTCCAATTCAAAAAAAAAATAGGGACCTACCTCTCTTTATGTTGAAAATCAGGACAGAAACAGAAGCATCTGGCCAACCAGACTTCCAGTTAATCAAGTCCTTCATTTTTACCAGAAGCTTCACCTTTTACCACAAACAGAAAGCTCAGAAAAAGCAAGGAGGAGGAGGCTGATGGACAGAAGGAGGCAGGGAGGCTGAGGCAGAGGGAGGACGCCCCACACCAGCGCCTTGTACCTGAGGACCCTGACCCCTCTAGTTTCCCCAGACACTCAGGTACTCTGGGTTGATTTGCCCTGCAATGTCTTTGTTTCCAGAGCCTGCACCCTGCCAGGAGATTAGCGAATTCCTCACGTTCCACGGCCTCCATTAGGGGGTTGGAGGTCATGTGACATCAAGGACATTTATTTGGCCTCACTAGAACACACATAAATAAGATTTCCAGACATTTTTCTGGAAATCCCCAAAAAGTCCTGCCTTCCCTTTCATTCCTGGAGAAAAAAGGTGGACCTTGAGATTCACATCATTTTTCAGAGAAATGTGTCTGGTTGGGGAGCTTTTCTTACCATTAACTCCTGAGTATTGCTGCTTATGTTTTAGGAGAGAGTACCGTTTTCTCTTGGCATGAGGCTTTGCAAGGCAGCATTGCTTATCTTCATGGCAGGCCTGTGCCTGGGGCAACCTGGTACAAGAAACTCTGAATTTACTTTTAAGAGATAGGTCTGTGCTTGGTTTTCACACAAGAACAGTTTTCTTTCAAGGCATGTAGATGCCCATGTAAAGGTATTTGTTTGCTGGGGTCTTGACCTTAGTATGAAAGCAGGTTTTAAAAAGTGGTACAGGTTAGACAGAGAACTGCTACCCACCTTCCAATATCCAGAGTCTCTGACCCCCCCCCCTCCAAGTTTGCTTTCAGAGAAGGAATCTATATATCCCTCATGTATATCTTTTTTTCTGAGTTTGAGTTTGAGTCTCACTCCATCGCCCAGGCTGGAGTGCAGTGGCACACTCACGGCCATCCCAGCGTTGACCTGCTGGACTCTGGCAATCCTTCCGCCTCAGCCTTTCAAGTAACTGGAACTACAGGCACATGCTACCACGCCCGGCTAATTTTTGATTTATTGTAGAGAACGAGGTCTTGCCAAGTTGTCTGGGCTCGTCTCAAACCAGTGGGCTCAGGCTATGCACTCGCCTCAGCCTTCCAAAGTCTGGGATTATAGGCTGAGCCACTGAGCCTGGCCTCTCATGTATATCTACACACACACTTCCGGCTAGAGTTTCATCTCCCCGGGGCCTTTTCTCTAAATGTGGAATGAAAAGCTTGGCTGCATTAGAGGAACTGAAGACCTTAGGGAGCTGCCAAAGGAAGGATGGTCTGACCAGGGGAACTGCTTGCTGCTGTCTCCAGCCTGCCTGTGGCTGCCTAGCTCTGCTTCTAAAATTTCTAAGGCTGACTCCTTTCTAGTGGATTCCTTCACACAGATCCTTTCAACTGTTAGAGACCCTGATCTGGATGGAATGAGGCAGTTGATCCACTGGGCTGGAGCACCTCTCTTCTCTCCTTCCCCTGCTTTGCGGGGAAAGCTTGGAATGGGTGTGTGGGAGGGCAGATGGCCCTGTATCCAAGGAAGGCCACAGGCGGCAACAGGATAAACACATCTCCAGAGACAGCACAGTGGAGCCTTTGTGGGTGGAAATGCCACACCTGCTAATAGACACAGGAATAGAGGGCAGCCTTCTGTGGAATTCCACCTGTCGCAGACAGTGAGCAGGCAGTCACGTAGCCAGTCAGGGACCCCAGCCACACAAGGCCTGGCAATAGTCTGTGGGACTGTCATCCTGCATGTACTGGGATGAGAGGTGGAGAGTGAGTTTTCAGAGAGGGCAAGAGACTGTTTCATAGAACAGGCGAGTGTAAAACCTTTGAAGAAAAAAGCTACAGCTCTTTGGTTCTCAGTGACAAACAGGGGCTGGTGCAGCAAGTCAGTGGACAGCGATGGAACCAACCGTGACCACTCCAAAGCAGCCGCAGCACCTTGGTGTTCTGGTTCCCACCATCCACCTCCCCAAAGGGGACCGCGTAGGATTTTTCCATCAGAGCTTTGCTGCTTTCCTGCTCGCTGGTGTTCCTCCCTGGGACTGACTGCTGCAGTATCAGGTCATATGCTGGGGCAGTAAGATGTTCTTGCTGACTACCCGGAGGTTGGGAGGTGCAGGTGAGGTGTGGAGTCTCTGACTTGGTCACATGACACAACCTTGCCCCTTTTCCCCATGTGATTTTAATCATCCATCCATCTCCATTTGATGTCTTAGCTGTAGCCTCCGTTCTGAGCCAGGCTGTCTGAGCTTTCTCTGGGCCTTATAGAAGCAAGGCCTCCTCTATGTCTGTGCCCCTCCTATCACCTCAGGATATTGAGACAGGCGGGTCTCCCACATGCTCCCCTTGGCGCTCCTTGCACAAAACTCCTCAACGCCCTTCTCGCTCTTTCTCTGCCAGAACAGTGATCTCCACTGGCTGCAGGCTGCCCTGCATTCCTTTCTACTGATCTGCAGCTGGTCAGTTAATCTGTTTCTTTCTGGGTTTCCTGCAGCTCCTCTGATCTATTTCTAATTATTTGGCTTCTCAACCCACAGTTTCTCTAAGAAGCGTCATTTTGCTTTTTATCCCCACCCCAGAGGTATGTTTTTCTCACTCTCAGGTATAATGTTATGCTTTCTTAAAGATCTTTGTTTTTTTTTTTTTTTTTCTTTTTGAGTTGGAGTCTCACTCTGTCGCCCAGACTGGAGTGCAGTGGCCGCTCCCGGACACCACAGCCTCGCCCTGCTGGGCTCCGACAATCCTTCCGCCTCAGCCTTCCAAGTAGCCGGAACTACAGGCACGCACTACCACGCCTGGCTAATTTTTGATTTATTGTAGAGACGAAGTCTTGCCAAGTTGCCCGGATGGGTCTCGAACCCGCGGGCTCAAGCAATACACTCGCTTCAGCCTCCCAAAGTGCTGGGATTACAGGCTGAGCCACCAAGCCTGGCCTAAAGATCTTGTATGTTGTGACGACTCTAAGATAACCCATGAAAGCATAGTATCTGACACATAGTAGGTGCTAGTTAAATTTTAATTCCTCTCCACACTCCCTATGGGGATACCCTTATAGATGGAGACATTTATTTTAGGAACATTTTCCCACCCCCAAACCACCATGTTTAATTGAATAGGAAAAGCCAAAATGGTCAATCCCAATATTGTTCAGCTATGAAGAAAGGAATTGTGAAAAGAACAGTATTAGTAAGGATGAGAGGTGGGGCGCGGTGGCTCAAGCCTATAGTCCCAGCACTTTGGGAGGCTGAGGCGAGAGGATTGCCTGAGCCCACGGGTTCAAGACCAGCCTGGGCAACATGGTGAGACCTCATCTCTACAATAAATAAAAAAATTAGCTGGGCGTGAGAGCGCTCACCTGTAGTTACGGCAACTTGGAAGGCTGAGGCGGAAGGATCTCCGGAGCCCAGCACGTCAAGGCTGTGGTGGCCGGGAGTGTGCCGCTGCACTCCAGCCTGGGCGACAGGGTGAGACTCCAACTCAAAAAAATAAAAAAAAAAAAAGGATGAGATTAAATAGATGAAATACATGTTTCAAAATAAGCATTTGTACAGTCCAGGAAACAGATATTTATTATGGATCAAAAAGACCAAATACCTTACGAGCCCTGGGGCTTGCTAACTAGTGAAATAAGAGCAAACTAAGAAGGAAGAATACCCCAAACATAGCTTTGTTAAAAATAAGTAAGCTCGGGCAACACTCTTCTGCCTCTCAATAAAACCTGCTTTAAAAAAAAAACCGGCAGTCCAGGCGTCTCAGACAAAATGAACGCTCAAGATGCGTCCATGGAGGCCACTGAGGACAACACTGAACAAACTCTGGATCCATGACAGGAGGAAAGGATGCAGCTTTTTTACAAAGATGCTGAGAAGATTCAGGCTTTGCTGCAAGACTTGATGTGATTCAATGTGAACTGAAGAATTTGCTACATGTCCTAACTGTGGTGAAGGAGAAACAGCAACCACTTAATGCCTTATGTGAAGATTTTGAACAGGGTTTCCACAAGTTGAAGAGGAATGAGCAAGGTTTTTCTGGTGGTGCACAAAAGGAACTTTAAAAATCATGAACTATGATGCAAGAAAACATTCTGTGGGTGACTCAGTGGCAAGAGTTGGCACGTAATCAAATGTTTCTTGACTCCCTGTAACTCTGAAGAAAGAACTCGAATCAAAATTCTAGATACAAGCCCAACATTCGCTACCCTAAACCATGTTACAGTGTTCAAAACAATTCTGGTCTAAAGCAGTACATGTTCTTGTTTGTTTGTTAAATGGAAGACCTCGTTTCTGGAGACTTCAGAATGAGTCCTAAACAGTTATTTGCATAGCAACCATTACACAGGTGTACACTGTCCATTAAGTTCTGGCAATAAAGATGTGTTTATTTGAAGAAAAAAAAAAAAC